TTACTTTGCAATGGTAGACTATTATTTTTTGAAATATATACGTTATAATAATCGAGATTTACACATCAAACGCAATAAATCAAGTAAATCCTACTACTAGCCTACCTATATTATGATTGTTCCACTATATGTAATTGAATCCAAATGTAAAGATGTATCTAATTGGTTAAAGCTATAAATAAATTCTCTGAGAGGGAGTTTAGTCAAATGAATGGCCGCAAATTAATTAAGAAAATGTTACAAGTTTACCTGAGCCCGCGTTTGTAAACATGGGTTTGGTGGTTTCAAAGTAATTACAAAACATTATCCTCGTTACTAAACCCAAAGGATTGGAATGAAAGTTGCCCAGCCTTCCATTCAGTCTAATTCCATTATTTCTTGTTGATTTACTTCTCCCCACAAGTGCACAGTTCGTAGCAATGTCACCACTCGGGTTAAAAAAATCTTTTTTTTAAATAATAAAATAAACTAATTATAAATTATTTATAGTTGTTCTAGTCACATGTAAAGTACAACAACAGTTTAAGATACAATAAAAATGATTGACTATACAGTACAATTAACACTAGTACTAATTAATTTCCAGTTATTGTTAGAAAGTACACACCTTGAAAAGAAACATGCAAAAATATGTTCATGAAAAATACCATCGACTTAATTTTACTTTATCACACCGCGTAACCTTACGTGTTGCATACAAATTTACTATGGATAAATATAGACATTTAGTTCTCACATTAAAGTTGATTCAATAGTCAATGCTTGTAATCGGTTTAAACATTAAAATGAAAGTGATTGAATTGACCCACAGACATTGTGCTGTAAATTACTGTATTTCTGTTCTTTACACCAACAGCGAAGCAAACCCGCAAGGTACCCTTACTTAATGTAAACAGAAGCAACTTATTGAAGTACTTCAATACTTCAATACTACTACTTGAAGTTATTGAAGCAACTTGATAGAAGTAACTTTACTATCGTGAAATAAAAAGCCACAATAAAAATAAAATTCCTAAAATAAATTTGCACATGGCTAATCCTACTATGTTCTATACTCAATAAAATTGGCTTTAGATGTAATAACTACTTAGTTATCAAAAAGTCAACGATAAACAATATAATAGGGTAGAGGAATATTTTCCTAATACAGTTGTACAAATTAGAACGGCGGTGGCGTGGAGATGATGTAATCTAAGTTGGCTAAGCCGAGCTCCTGGGATCCCAGACTCCGGTGTGCATTACAGTGTTACGAGCAATTTGGATTACCTACAACAAGATGAATTACCCGCCTTGATCACAGAGTAATTACTTCCTCAGGAGGTAGACTATAGTGATAAGACGATACTACACCATGTAGATTACGGGTACAACCTCGTACGTAGCAAATTGTCAGATTAGCTATCCCCCTGTAGTGCACTACAGTAAACATTCTATTTAACCCCTTAGATTACCTACAACATCAATAGTTAATATAATAGATGACATAAAATGCTATAGTTTACCATAGGTTATCAGTGGCGGCGATTGGGCTTGAGAGGTGGGGGGGGGCGAAATCTAGATTTATTGTTGATATAATTCTATTTTATAATTTTGATATGTATTCCTTATGAAAGTGGGGGGGCGACTGCCCCCCCTGGCCCCCCCTAAACGCCGCCTCTGTAGGTTATCGCTTTGGATTAAAAGTTTGTGTATATTGGGTAATTAACATCAGCGCTCTCTTTCGTTGCGTATTTTCAACGTTATTTTGTATTCTTACACAATAGTGTAGCCACTAGCCACAGAGAAATACGAACTCTGTGGCGTAACTCAATCAAAGCATAACGTCTGCAAAATTCAAAATAATAGCATACATATCTAATCTAATAATGCAAAGGTCGCCGGTTCGATCCTGAAAAAGTCAGAAGCGTTTCGATGGTTCTAAACTGGACTCGACTGTAGTTGTTCATTGATTGGAAGTAAATGATCCTGACTAAATTAGTCAGAACCAAATCGACACAGATCATCTCACTACATTCCACATCTACAATCACCTTGCGTTTATGTCCTAGGTGTGCGTCGCTGTCTCAAGGAAGTGAAATTGATAATCTATGATAATAAGCAACATGTCAGTGGTAAAAAAAACTCTTGAGGTAGATAACTGGATCACTGCTGATAAAACCCAAGTTATACACGTCCTAACTTCATTTTAGCACTGCCCTACTGAATAAGTTTGTAATTAAATGTTTGTTTAATTACTAGACATAATAGAAAAATATTATGGACGGTTCCCAACTGCCCCGATCTTGAGGGTATGAGACAACGTATATTCTGAAAACGTTAGATCGAGTAACAAAAAGCACAGTTGATGGCCAATCCTAGACAATGGAACGAAAAACGAACCGGAAAAACAGCCAATAGCCGCGTAACAGCTTCCACCTCCCATTAAAACTTAATAGTCTAATCACGCCGACTATTCTGGTCTATTCGTGTTTGTTATGGTGGCAACACCGATTATTGATGGCTTCCGGACACCGGACCAGCCAGACGTACCAACTACGCTTGCAGCCTAATAATACCCCGCGCCTTCACAACCTCCTCGATCGAAGGATCGCGTGTGACGTCACTCGATTGAGCGGAAATTGTAGAGGCAATGGCTCACAATCTTAAGCGTACGGTGATTCACGCGCGCTCGTGACTCATTCTAAACTCGTTGAAACTGCGAGGGGAGACGGAAGTGCTTCGCGGGCCCTCGTAAACATATTGGCATAAATATCGTCAATGCTTGGGTAAGTGAAGGCTAAAACTCGCAACTCGTAATAGAAATGTGTCCAATATTGTTTTGCGTTTGTAGCCACTACTCTCGCACCGAAATCCGAAACTCTAACGAATAACTAGGCAATGATAGCCCTATCCATTCATGACAGATTTTAATTAAACTGACGAATTAGTTTGCCAAAAATTTAATCTAAGCTACCATTTTAATACCTCCTATTTTAATAATACATTTTCACAATTCTCATTTTCTCACAATTTTCATTCAAACTACTCTCAGGGGCCCAAACAAAATAACTATGAACAAAACAAGGGAGTAAAAGCATAGCATGAAAAGCAAAGATCAAGAGAGCAGTGGCGATTGGCGAGGTGGTGAGTAGGTGGCAGCAGACAGCTGATTGATCAGCTGATGTAATTGGCGGCAAGGCGCGCGTTTCTTGCTCGCATAACCTCTAATTTGTCGGCAGATCAAACAAGTGGACGCCATTACCATCGAATGAACGGGAACTTATTCTGGTAATGGCGCAATCTTTCAGCAAATATTGCTGCCCTGTTATCACCCCTATTAATCTTCCTTACTCTACGAGGCTGAGGATCTAAGCTGCTTTTATGAAGAATAAGTTTAACGTTGGTTTAGACCTTATCGTCACGTAATTAATTACAGGTCTACGACATATCAATGAACATAGAGTTTTGAATAGCAAAATTAGTTGTTTGGCTAAACGATTTTTGCCTCCTGGAGCCCAAAAGAATTTTATATTATGTACTGCACATGTGATAAAAGAAACCTGTAAACTCTTTCCATGTGTTGTGTTTTTTCAAAGATGATTACAAACATCGATTGTTAATGCTAAATTCTGATATAAGATCAAATTACCTGGCTTAAAACCCTGTACTGTAATACGTTTGTAGTTTTTCAATGGTCCAAAACAGGACCCTTATCGATATAACGTTGTAAACCGGTAGCCTCATTTTTAATCAGTTGTTTCTTTTCTTGTTTATAAAACCCAGTACTCTTTAAAACACAATAAACCCCCACATAGGTATTGTGATTTAATATCTACACACTAAATTTCATAAGTCTGACTAGACCACTACAATGATAATTATCTGAGGCCAGCAAGACTAATAAAAAGCTCAAACTTCAATGTTTGTACGAAAACAACACTTCAGGAACAAATATTTACCGGTAGCTCATACTTTGCCAACAAAAAGGCGTGATTTTTAGATCCAACAATTTTAAAACCATTTAGAAACCCAATAAAGCATTTACACTCAACAGAAGTGGTTTTACCATTATTTTATACACATTCCCATAACAATTTCTCCCACATGGTAACATCATACGCTTATGCAAGCCTGTGGCGTCCGCTCATTATCGAGCTATCGATATCGGCTCGATTATCGGATGCAAGAGGTAGAAGTACCGGGTAAGTAGGGTATAATTACCTTCAGGCGTGTCTATATTATGCGCCGACTGTTAACACGACACCACACAACTTCCAACTCCGGTGTCGCTGATTTAAACATCACCCTTCTGTGTAAGTTCAGCGAAGGGGAAAAGCTAACTGTGTCTATAGGTAATGTGACATTGTTATTGCTCTGTTCAATGTTTGTTCGGTAATTACTAATAAGTTAAAATGCTGATTTTCAAATGAGGAAGACTTACTTATGCAACGAGGAATTTGCTTAACGAGTGTTCCTGTATAGGATACCCTCTAATTTGCTCAAGGAGATTTGTTGGGTGTTTATATGTTTCATCAAAATGTTTGCATGTCATCTTATGCATCCTTAACTTAAGAACTTGTTTAATGAAAAAGTAGAAAACGGATGATTGAAATAAAATCAATTTGGTTTCTAGGTTGAAATGAATTATACAAAAATGTACGTACTTTGTATCCCTATGTGGTTTCCACCGTTGGCTTTGTGTGGTAATCTTATTTGGCCTGAGGGCGGGATCAGATTCCAGATCTCGTAACGTCGTAAAAAGTTGATTGTTTACTCACCGTATTAGGAAAAGGTACACAATAATAATTCAAATAACATTTTATTCACACTTGGAATGTAGAGCGTACACCTCTGAAAAGCGGTACGTAAGACTTTTAACATCTACGATCCTTATGACATGTTGATCATGCAGTTCTGAAAATAAACTCAGAACTATTGTCTTTTGGGCACTTAAGAAGGAGTCCCATTTTCACGAAGCAGCTGGAAACGTAATTAAGATTCTAGAAATATCATGAACTTACCGTCAAACTTGGTAGCTCGCGTCTTCAGCACGCTGCTGAGTGTGCTGAGTTGCTGCCGCACGTTCTGTTCGTGCTGACGTCTCATCGCTGACGTCATCAGCAGCTCCGTCTGCTCGGAGCAACAGCTGGCTCCGCTGCCGCATCTCCGGGGAGAGTTGGCTGAAACACGGGAAATAACATTTTAAAACATATGTAAATTCCATCAGTTTACAAAAATGGAAGTTTTCAGTTTGTCAATCTCTATATTCAGCAATAAAATAAGAAACGCCATTGCCAATGCGTTCGGAAGTAATTAACATTTTTCATGTACTAGGGGTGGATTTCTTTAACAAGATCAGGTCCTAAATAAAGCCTTGAAGTTTATACGATGACTTAAAACCTGGCCAATTAAAATTTGAACAAAAATACCACAATTTTGAAAATGAACAACATTGTTGAAATGAAATTAAAAACCCAATAAAAATTTACTATTTTAGAAATGAGTGGAAAATTTTAACCAGGTAAAAACTGATAAACCCTCTAAAACGGCCTCTCAAACTGCAAAATCAACCTAACGGGACATTTAAAAGTGAAATTGGCTCAAGAAATTACTCCCGAGTTTACTCAAGTCGCTGTCGATAACAACTTCGGAGTTTTCAACTTCTGAAAGGTCGTCACGGAAAACTCGACTTTACGAATCCCATGGAAAGGGGGAGAAGGTGCTAAAATAGCATCCAATGAGAATATAATGGAATTTCAAACAGGCCGAGATATTAGTAGGTACAGTAATTAGTTAGCAAGTTTGGTGGGGTGGGGGTTGTGGTATTGACAGCGTTCAATTATCCAACGTTACACTGACTGGCCACTGTATACAACGGCGAGAATATTGGAAATACTGTTGAATAAAATCAGTGACCCATATTGCAACACGGCGCTCCTTTGTGGAGTCTATTACGAAAGTTAAATTGGAAAACGGTTCTCTTAACAAATGCCTACGTTATCATGGGTTTTCATAAAAAATATTACTCAACTAAATCAATAACAATTGGTTCTATTTCAGACATAATTATCAAGAAATAATTTCAGGATTAAGGATTTTTAACATAAATCACGGAGTTTAATATTGTGCCAGAACAACTATGGAGGTGTCCCTACTTACTATTTGAGGAGTTTTAAAATTAAGATTTATACAAAAATAATCGAAGAAAAATCAATTTGAAGCATTAACACGTTCATTTTACACCGGTTGCAAACCAAAATTAAGCCCATCTCTACCTCTGAACTTGACGGGGGAGCTATCTGGTGTATTGGTTAGAGCACGGGACTTCGGTTCCTGGGGTCCCGGGTTCAAATCCCACCAAATCACCAACGGATTATTTATAAGTGATAATGCCGCAACCCCTAGGTCTAGCCTGAAGTAACGTGAAAAACAATCCCAGGCTCGTGCCTAGCGTTTTAGGACAAAAAAGATTAAAATATTTCAGAAATTTCCAAAACTCACACAGGACATCAGTGCCAGTGCCGCAGTGCGGTAAGCCTACATCAGTCAGCTGCTGAGATAGGACCAGATCAGTGACGTGATTTATGAGGTGCTGAGCCAGCGATTCAGCACAGCTTTGCTATATCGATACTGGCTGACTGGCTCTGTCTTAGTACACATCTATCTATTGTGTTCGTTCCTCGTCTATATTATTTTCACAATTTCTGCCCCTTCTTTTGAATTTACATTTTCTGTGCAGTTTTACTTCGGTGACTTTCCAGCTTTGGCAGTGTTTGTGTAGGTCTACTAATATTATAATGTAACGACTTTTTGACCTGAAGACGGGGTAAGATACCAGATTTCGAAACGTCGCAAATATTTAATTTTTGTCGTTTTTATGAGCAAAAAATCTCTTAACTTAACCGATGGCTATGTAGACATTAAGGTTAGGTTAAATGAGGGATTATCTGTGTCTTATTTTGACTAATATCACTTACAAGGGATATCTAAGTGATTGCGGATCTAAGGTTATCCCTTGTTTGTGCTAGTTATCTACGTGTTTTTGCTTTTGTGATTTTCCAGCTATAGCTAGCTGGGTGTGAGCGCTAAGTTTGTTATGTTTTGGTTCCTTCTCTCTTGAGGACGGAGTAAAATTCCAAATCTCGAAACGTCGTGAAAACTTGTTTCTGAGGACCATTTAGGTTAAGGGTGAGATATCAACGGTTGTATACATAGAACACTTTACAACCCTCCGCAACACAAACCCCCAGCACACTTCGAGATCAAAAGCTTTACCTCCTCTCTTAAAAAAAATATTTTCAAAATATAAAGTGTTCCATTAAATCCTTCCCCAAATAATTTTGAAACCCCAGCAAAGTCGAGGCAACTAGACGCACAGGCGAAATGGAGGTAATTTGGAACCATAAAGAGAAGTGGAGCTGTTTGTCAAAGTTGTGGGGGTTGTTCTTTGTACTTGTTACATATTATCGATACTGTGTTGTGGGAGGGAGGTTCTAGGGGGTTGCCAAGAGACGGTCGCGGCGGCGGCATGCCGGGCCAATTGTCATTTTCAAACACTGATTTCACACGCTTCGGCTGATTATTACCGCTCACTGAGATTCGAGAACACCATTGACACGATGAGAGGGTTTATTTGATGTGAATATTTGATGCTTATGTAATCACAATTTACCCTTCCAGCAATTTTACAAAAACTATATTAATCGTAACTTGTTTTATCGTTGAATATTTCAGCGGCGAAATAAAAAGCAATTACATTAAAATACCTATTTATTGAAGCGAACATTAAATAGGACCTCTTACGGTTGACCTCGCAGTCCACTGGATACGTAAAAATAATAAAGTCTAAACATTTTAAACAGTATGACACATTTAAGGTAGGTGTTAGGCATCTTCAGGTACATCCTCTCGTATGATTCGTCATGAGAAAAATTTTACATGGAACAATAAACACACATCTACAATAAAAACACTAAGTTTTACATTATTTTGCCTCACGTCACGGTAAATGAATATTTTATACTAGGTGAAATAGGTGGCGTAATAAACATTATTCAGATAATTTAAAACTGTTGTTACTCCGTTGAAGTAGGATACTGAAAAATGTTGAGGGTTCTTATGTAGTATCTTTATTTCTACCAGATAAACACTTCTTAAGAAGTGAAAAGTTGTCTAATCCAGCATAATTTTATATTGTTCCAATTTTAACATCTCAAATATTAGTGTTTTGTTTCAACCTTTGCGGGGAAACATTATCTATGAAATACACCATCTTCCCATTCCAATCCTTGACAAATCACAAGGCAATCAAGGACGTTACACCAGTTCACCGTAGTTTGGGTGATAAAATTATACTTAACCGACAACTGGCTAGAAACATCAACAATTAGTGTAGCACGTGGCCCACGGGATAGTTACCAGACTATCTGTAGATAAACTGTTAGATGAAACGTAAAACTGGCGACAGGGGAGGTGTGATCGAACTGCTACACAGACTAAACTGAGGGATGATCCTACCACAGGTAATACATCAATGTGGATAGTTTCTGTGGCTTTACTCTCACATAGAAACGGTGCAGACTGTAGACAATAAGAAATATTAACGTTTGACTGTGGTATTCGCAGAATTATTGAAATGCTTCTTTTATACAGGACGCTGTAAAAATACTTCTGCAGCGTAACTAAAATGGCTATTCTTTATCGGCATCAAAATGCTTCTTCCTCACCTATCAAAATGTATTTTCCTTGGCGTCATCAAAAGTATCGACTTTAGTGTGATCGAAACGCTTCTATTCATCTTCTGCAGCGTTATTAAAACATTTCTGTTTCAACGTCATCAAAGTGTGTCTTCTGCAAGGTCATGAACATTTTCTGTGCCATCTAAGCATCTTTTCCAGAGCCATCAAAAAGTCCTTCTGCAGCGTCATGTACCGTAATGCTTCTGCAAATACTTTAAAAGTTTCTTCTGCAGCGTGACAAAAACCAGAAACTCAACGATATGTATGATTAGTGCTTAAAATAGTCACATTCATTTTGATACAATACAAGAAGCTACGAAAACAAGTATCTATTGCGGCAAATAAAAAATAAGGGAAAAAGGTAAAAGTCATGCTGTATATATTAAATACAAAATGTAACACAACTAGGAACATTACACCAGTTTGAGTTTTATCGTCCAAAAGTTTAATATGTACTTTGTTTTATTTCATTCTCTTGTGTTTATAAGTTTCACGCTGGTACACCAACGATTAGCGTTAACACAAAAAAATGAAAACGAACGTCCCTTTCGATAATTCGTGTTTGAGAAATCGGACTAACGACATATTAATTGAATCTCAATAGAAGGAGTTGACGCAGCCAATTAAGGAGGCAAATGGCCTATAAATGGCGGCCGGGTATGATTGTTAGTGTGTAAGGGTTGTGGAGGGTCCTTGTCCATCATTGCATCCCCACACTGGGGTAGAGCAGAGTGCTGCGTATGTCGACGTTGGAGTACTACACTTGCTACCCCAGTCTTAGCCAAACTGTGGGACGAAAAATGATTGTTCTTCCACAACGTTGAATGTCTACAGCAATTCAAAATGGTAACACACGTTTGGCCAAGTAAACTTTACTTATCAATCAACATAATCGTAGATTATTTGGTGATAAATAATGACTTATGGCCGTTATAACTGGTTTGCTATGTTACAGCATATGAAAAATGCGTATATTTGTACAGCACTACAACTCAAGGACTTAATGCCATTTGTAGTTTCGATTTGTAGTGAGCTGACGCTCGGCAGTCGGCAGCGTACTACAGCGCGTCGCCTGTGGGTTTCATTTCATGACTCATGTTCTGAACCACATTCTGATGTTCTGAACCAGATTGATACCAACTCTGTAATTAAAAAATTTGCCAAGATCAAAGCTAGGAAAATTAATTTTTAACTGCTAAGAGCTTTTTAACTGTTCAAATTGATAATTTTGTATTCTTTTTGTCAAGGTAATAAATTTGGTTTTTCATGTTTTCTTCATGTTTAATGTGTTCAATTAAAAATTCCTCTCTTGTCATCTATCTACACCTGTTTTTCATTGTAATAGGCTTTAACTTATATCGTATCCAAGTTATCTTGTAATAGTATATTACGTTACTAGTCCTGAAAATAAGTGTTTACCGGACGAGTGTGGTCGTTCCCGT